TTACATTGCTAAATTAGGGACGGCTAGAGCAGATATCCCTCGTGTAGCTTTGCGCGAAATTCAAAAACAAAAAACAAACAAAATTTATTTCACTATATCTTTTTAAAAAACTAACTTTATTATCACACTAGCAAAAGTACCCGGCTTTGTCCTGGTTATTAGGTTGAGATATTCTAGATGACTACGTCTATGTGTATATTTTGATCCTATTTTAGCATCCCGTGGATGGGCATGGTCTTCAACTCAAAGCTTCTTTTGGTTTATGCGATAAAAATTGCAGCCTTTCTGTTTCAATTTTGGCACACATTACGGCTTGCCCATTACGATTTTAGTGACGGGAATGCAAGAGGGCCGTGAAACCTTGTAAGTGTAGTTAATGTTAGTATGATTTAAAAAAATTAATAAATAAGCCTAAAGTAAAGACATAGTGTGAGACAACCTAGCCTAGAGCTAAGTGCAATTTATCATGAAAGTAAAAATATCTATCCAATTTTAAACTTATATCGTTTCTGAATTAAGCTATTCTTAGTCATATCACCAACTTTTTCAATAAAAAAACAAACCTCTTTAATCAAAGGAGATTCTGTATAAAGAAATCAACAAATATTTTTCCATTTTTGTTGCTTATACATTTCATTTTATACTTTCAGTGCACAGACTAACAACAATATTAGGTTATAGTTTTGTTGTTAAGCAACATGACATAAAAGTCATTGTTGGAACGCGTTGTTACCAAAACGCACTGGCTTTTCTGTATATTAGAAGTGGTTGATCTAACTGATATACTATAGGGTATACTATGGGGTGGCAGTACTTGCCTCGACATTTTCAATGGCCTATACGTGAGGTTGTTGTACTTGCCTCGTCATTTTTGACGGGCTATACGTCTATAATGAAAGAGCGTGTCTGTCTGTGATTTATATTTGTAATATAAGGAACCGCTTTTTTTCTATGTGTTTTTCGCTAGCTTTCCTCATTAAAAAAGATGTGCATGCGCTTGCGCACACCACGTGGAAATAAGTAATAATACCCAGGTGCACACCCTCAAGGTCTACTTAGTATGGGTGCGAAATTTCAGGTTTCTAGGTTCTTTCCTCATGGAGCTATGGTGGTCACAAGCACACAGATACGCCCTTTTACTATTATAGATAGATATGTATACAAAGTATTCTATACAGCTGAGTTTTGAATTTACAAAGTTAATGTATAGCACAATTGAATAAAAAAGTGCATTTTTCTAAAGCTGGAATTATACAACTTGTAGTTGTTCCAAATCTTTCACTGAGCCCATTTAGTTTCCTGCATATCCTGCTAACAAAACCAACCAATGCATAGACAATCTCCAGTTCTTTATCAAGGTCAATAAGAGTCTGAGAATGTTACCCCTAACAAAAGCTGCCCTGAAAGTTCACATTGCATGTGACAACTACTAGGCAAGGGTATGGCTAGAGATAAACCACGAACCAATAGAGATCATATCTCCTGCTGATACTTCTGCCAAGAAGAAGTGGACAGTTTACGTACAAGTTGTCTGGACAAGATTGTCACCTGTCCCAGATACCTGTTTAGAATTATGACCTGTGGGTACAAATCAAAGTGCAGCACAGAAATTGCTTGAAGTGCACCCTTGCTTTCAGCTGTGATAAGACTAACTGCTACAATACAACAGGCCAATAAACTTCAATACTTTTACTGAGCTGGACAATAAACCTCCAAACTTGTACATTAAAATAAAATTCACATATATTGAAATAGGAAAATGATGAGTTATACGATCGTACTACAAAGATTTGGAATAACTACAGGTTCTATTATTACAATTTGAGAAAATCTCTTATTTTTTTTCAATTGTGCTATACATTGATGACGTACATTCAAAATTAAATTGCTTATAGATCATGGTATATAAACCTAAATTATAATAAAGTTCGTTTTCTCTGAAATATATAATGAAATAAATTTCAATCCATCTGAAATTCAGAAACCCCACTTGACTTTTGTGACCTTGAAAATTAAATTCAAGGTCAGAATCGAAAATGGCACCCACCCATATCTTTTTCCTCATTCTTTTAATAACTAAACTAGCATGAATGCCTGCTTTTAACAAACAATGCTATCGCAAATCTAAAATCACATTTTGGCTGGTCTACTAGAAAGCACAGACAATAATTGGATTTTTCTATTTACATCACAGATATGATACTATAATGTTTTGACTCTATAGTGTGAAGTAGAATCGGCTTTGCCCTGTATGTAAGACTTTGTGTTCATTGAAGTTGGAAGACAACCTCTTATAGAAATGGGGTGACTTGTGGTATTAGGTTAGAAGTGTCATGACTTGTGGTATTTAACTTAGAAGTGAGTGTCGTGACTTGTGGTATGTAGGTTAGAAGTTAGGTGACTTGTGGTATTTAATTTAGAAGTGTCGTGACTTGTGGTATGTAGGTTAGAAGTTGGGTGACTTGTGGTATGTAGATTAGAAGTTAGGTGACTTGTGGTATGTAGGTTAGAAGTGTCATGACTTGTGGTATTTAACTTAGAAGTGTCATGACTTGTGGCATGTAGGTTAGAAGTGTCATGACTTGTGGTATTTAACTTAGAAGTGTCATGACTTGTGGCATGTAGGTTAGAAGTGGGGTGACTTGTGGTATGTAGAATAGAAGTGTCATAACTTGCGGTATTTAACTTAGACGTTTCATGACTTGTGGTATGTAGGTTAGAAGTGGGGTGACTTGTGGTATATAGGGCTGTTATATTCAGTTTATTCATTATACTGTTATCAAACTAGCGTAACTAGATTTTTTTAAATATAATTTCTTATTAGAATACATTTTAGTAACATTCCAAGTTTAAAATTTCTGTTAAGGAAGGCACATTTGTAAACTTGTAAATAACAGCAGATAAATAGTTTATTTCTATCAAGTAAAAGCATTCTCTAGAAACTTGTAAGTGTCTATTTTAGTACCTACCTTGTTTAAAACAGGTGGAGCTACATGTCAACATTGCACAATGAGATAACTGTTTTGTTCTTAATATTTGTTAATATTAGAGACTGTTATAGTGACTACCTACTGTGTCTATGGTGCAATTAAATGTATTGTTATGACTTGTTGGGGATTTATTAACAGTCATTTTGGTTGTCATAGCTGCCACTTCAAATTACTTCTCTACAACACTACTGAAAAATTACATGATAATTGTTTTATAATTTAAGAAAATTCAAGCAAGTGTAAGCCCAGACGTCGTTTTAGAGAAAGAAACAAAATACCCTTAGAAAAGCTAAAAAGGTAGAAAATCCTGACATTTTTAGATTAGAATAACTAATAACTTAGTCAAGAATAATTTCTATCTTTGCACTTAAAATTACAGTTTACCAAGACGTTACAATGCAAAACTTACTATAATTAATCTCTTTACCACACCATATGTTGTTGCTACAATACATTTTATGTTTATCCTGATAATTTAATATCTCGGTCATCTTGAGATAAGTAATAGTAAATTCATTAAAATATGAAACATTATAGAATGAAAAGAAAATTATACTTACACTGTTGTGTGTGTTGGCTGGTAGGCAGGGCCCCATCCAGTGGGATTTGGTGTCATAATAGGTTGCTGAGGAAAACTTGTATAACCTTGTGGTCCATTAGGTGGCCCATATGTCACATTTCCATACTGAGGAGGTCCCTGATAATTCCCAGAAGGATAGGGAGGAGGAACATTAGGATTCCAGCCTGGTTGTGGATGTGGAGATGGATAATAAGCAGGTGGAGGTGCTGTTGGTGGGTTTTGGTAACAGCCTTGATAATGGCTCATCTGAAAATATCATATATACATTGTTAACTAATCATTTCAAACACAGTTCATCAAACTTAACTTGCCTACAAAACTTATTTCAAGAAGTTGCACATATTAACATATAGTGAACCTAGGTACAAAGGTTGAGTATATTAAAACGATAATGGAACAGTTCGTGTCACCACGCCCAGTCATACATCTTTATAATAACCCTACAGTGCAGTTTCCATTGCAAAAGACTCCATCATAAATTTGTCAAGTTCAAAGCACATCACTCCTTTATGCATACTTTTCATAATCCACTTTGAATGCGAGAATAACCCTTTACCAGCACCCATTTTAACAGTCCAATTTCACAGATATCCATAAGTGATGTGTCCGGTGATGGTGACTTGACTGGTATTTCTTTGTATGGAATAACATGACTACCTGTTTCTTTCTTTAGGTGCTTGAGATATGTGTTGGTTAAACGGAAGTATAACCAGAAGTCTCATTCGTACGTTATCTGGAATAAACGTTGTTCTATTGAGGAATCAACAAAAATAATTTCATGGTTTATTTAGACTGTTACCTGGAAGTAAGATCATTCAGCTGAAGAATTGAAGCATTTGTACGTATATTTAAACAACAACGATGTATGTATAGAGGTTTGTTGCATGTATTTTACAATGTGCAATAGAGAGTTAAAAACTAGAATTTGTGTGTTTTTGTTTGCCTTAGAGCAAGGCCACAATGAGCTATCTCTTGTGTCCACCGCGGAAAATCGAACCCCGGATCTTAGCGTTCTAAGTTCGTGAACTTACCGCTGTCCCATCGGGGAACACTAGAACTGGTAGAAAATTAATCGTATTCCTCAAGATATATTTGTGAATCATTGAATGTAAAAAAAAAAACAAATAATTACTTCAAATAAAACTTAATAAGCACAAAAATGTAGTATTAGTTTAATGTTAAAGTTACTCTAACTAGAACTTCTAGGGCTGATGAAACTGACACAGAAGTGAAAAGAATTCAAGTAGTTAAATAATATCCTACCGGTATAAACAGTTATTGTGTGTAAAAAGTAAATAAATGTGTGTGACACACACGTGTTACAATTTATCGTCTCTGCAAAAGGTAGTAAGAAAACTGTTTTTATGCTGGATAATGGTTGTAGCTAACATTACACCAATCCAAAGTTTTGGACTTATTTATGAAGTAGGTCATAAGAAAATACTTTCTTCAAACTTTAGAGTATCCGTGAACTATAATGGTATCCATCTCATGTGTTCTAAGAAATGAAAGTCAATCAGATTTATCAATGATTTTAAAGAATTTCTTTGTTGTTGTTTTCCGTTTCCGAATTTGCATTATAATTTAAATGTTACACGTATTATCATTTGTTGATAAACCTAAGACATTCTAATTTAAATGTTACACGTATTAACATTTTGATAAACTTAAGACATTCTAATTTAAATGCTACACGTAATATCATTTGTTGATAAATCTAAGACATTATAATTTAAATGCTACACGTAATATCATTTGTTGATAAATCTAAGACATTATCATTTAAATGTTACACGTATTATCATTTGTTGATAAACCTAAGACATTCTAATTTAAATGCTACACGTATTATCATTTGTTGATAAATCTAAGACATTATAATTTAAATGCTACACATAATATCATTTGTTGATAAATCTAAGACATTATCATTTAAATGTTACACGTAATATCATTTGTTGATAAATATAAAACATTTCCAAGATAATATTGCATATTCGACACAAGAATGATACAATGCACTACGCTCCACATATTGGGGTTGTGGATGCTTTATAAAAGCCCCCCAGTGGCACAGCGGTATGTGTGTGTGAACTTACAGCGCTAGAAACTGGGTTTTGATACCCGCGATTAGCAGAGCACAGATAGCCCATTGTGTAGCTTTGTGTTTAACTTCAAACAAACAAACAAAGCTTTATAAAAATGACGATAGAATCCCACTATTTGACTAGAATAGCTCAAGAGTTGGCAGTACGCGTTGATGATTGGCTGTTATCTCTCTACTCTGTCAGTTCAAAATTAGGGACGGCCTTTGTGTAGTTTTGCGCAAATACCTGTATCAAACCGAACTACAATCATCCGTGTCTGAATCAAATTACGGTATTGATATATTGCATATTTATGCGTTAAACGATCAGGTCAACGACCTCTAGGGTTTAAGTATTATAGCTGTCTCTAATTTTAAGCTAATGACAACATGAAAGGCAGCCATTTGGCGAGGAATACTTCTGACAAATTGCTTTTCATGTACTTTCAGCTGTATCATAACGCGAACCTTGGATCTTCCGATACGCATCCCGGAATGCTAGTCACTAGGCCGTTTAGCAAATCAGTCATTAGATAAAATACAGTAACAATACATGCTATATGTACCGTTTATCTGTGTAATGTGCAGCTGGAAGAAACAACATATACATTGAATTCCTAACGAGAAGAAACTTGAAATAATTATTGTTTGTAATAAAAGACATGTGGATTCCCTGAAGTTTCACAATCAACGTGGAGACAAGACCTTAGAAACTGTTTAATAAAATGCCAAAAGTAAAGTAAGCCAAAATGACTAAACTTAGCATTATCATATTTATTGCAAACATAATAAAACCACATCTAATTTTTAATCAGATAATGTTGAAGTAACGTTTTACAGATTGGTCGATCTTTACTGCTCGAAAATAATTTTCTGATATAATTTTTCACATTTTAGAAGACACGTGAACAAACACCACATAAACATACACAACTAGCTACTGTCAATGCAACTAGAACCAACTGAATTATATAACAGTTTAAAATGACCTTGCATAAATTATAAACAAATATATTACCCAGTTATGATTTACTTCTTAGCTGTTTACAGTTTAATAAGGAAGTCAAGGTGTAAAAATGAGGGCTTTCAAACTCGTGTTAACCACAAATGAACGCGCATGTACACTCCACACATGTTCAAAGTGCAAGTATGCGTTAAGTACAATTAAAAACCTTCTCTTTTATGGCAAATCATTTGAGCAGTTCAATTTTTTGTTACATAAGTGCGAGAACATTTTGACACATAAGAGCAAGAAACTGATGTTTTAACTTAGATATTAATATGGAGTTGAAATAACATTGTTTGGTGACCTTGATAAGTAAAACACTATAATAACTAAGCCGGTAGCTAGAAAATATTTTAATCACATTATAACATTTACTTACTTCATTCCTTTCCCTTAGAAGTGTTTCTCTGTGAGATTAATTAACATTAACTTCTAATCAATGCAAGCTACTTACATAGATCAAATCTGAAAAGAAATCCATTAATGAATAGAGCAAATTTAATATGCTGTTTTACGTTCTTATTTACAATGATTAGAGTGCATTGTGTCCCCCTTGTGGGACAGCGGTAAGTTTACGCATTTACAACACTAAAATCCGGGGTTCGATTCCATGTGGTGGACAGAGTGCAGATAACCCATTGTGTAACTTTGCACGAAGAACACAACAACAAGAATGAATTATCTCTTCAGTTAGGTAGCCTCGCTGTTAGTAATACCAATAATTTCTCACGAGATTGTGAAATTTATAATAGTCCTAAACACATGTATTAAGCTAACGATGCAAAATAATCTTTACAAGAATGAATATATAATAATAATAAACTAAAAGTAATAAAACGATATATATTGAACATTCGATTCAACATTATGAGTGAAAGTAACACTAAAAGAAAAATAAAGTTTAACCTACTTACAGAACACATAGACACTAGTGGTTAAAATATAATATCTAGTAGGAACCCAAGTGTTAGAGAAGAAAATCTGGTCTCTAGTATAAATAATATATATTCTAGACGTAGATATGGTGGATCTAATCTGAAGTTAGCTTTCTTCTTTCTTTGTCTTTGTTTGAAAAATAAAAATTCAGGTACGATCAGTGAAGATTTTGAGGAACAAGTCAGTCACTATATACTTTAAACCACTGATGAAACAAAAATCTGAAACTTGCAGATCAAATTGAATACTGAATTTTGAAATTAATACTGCAGATAAGAAAAACTTAACAAAGAATCATCTTTCATGTTGTCCCCCGCTTGGACAGCGGCAAGTCTAAGGATTTACAACGCTAAAATTATGGGTTCGATTCCTCTCGGTGGACACAACAGATAGCCGATGTGGCTTTGCTATAAGAAAAGCACACATCTCTCATGTCTTCACGTAAGTCCTCCTATAACTCCAAGTCATTGACCGTGAAGAAATGGCACCAAGTTCAGACTAAAATCTAGTAAATTTGTGGTTTGGTTACTGAGGCAAAAGGAAAAGGTGTGCGGAGTGTTGACATTTACAGTCGCTAGACAATTATGTATTCAACATTTTAATCTAGATATAAAATAAGTTTGAACATGAAATGAAACCACTTGGCCCAATCCCAGTCCTGATCTGAGGATTAAGCTCATATACTGCTAAGTATAGTTATCTGATGTGAGGGTTAAGCTTATACACAGATGAACCCAGCCACCTGATCTGAGGATTAGATTTATATACAGCTGAAGCTATAATCACTTTATCTTAGGGTTAAGCTTGTATATAGCTAAGTCCAATCATCTAACTTGAGGGCTAAAACTTGTATATAGCTAAGTCCAATCATCTAACTTGAGGGCTAAACTTATATATAGCTGAATCCAATCACCTGATATGATGGTTAAGGTTATATACACTTGGGTCCTATTATCTTATCTTAGAGTTAAGCTCAAAACCCGGTCTCTGCCATACACTCTATCCTATCATGCAGACTTATGAAATTGCATATGTGTGTTTATCTTTTTATCTATCTATAGACCCCTGATACGTTATGTGTCGCAGTGTCTTGTGATTTTCTTTCTACGCCTCGACTTTGAGAAAACTGACACATTTGTAGAGCAATATGAAAATCATATAATTCTTAAAATCTGAAAATTGATGAACATTTATCGCAATTAAACACTGAACTAAAATTGAGCTATTACAGCTACGTATGGAACACGTAAATTATAATCCTGTGGTCTATGAAAAGTGCTGTTAATGTTATTGTAAGTGAATGTTTTTCTCATATAAAAATGTTTAGAAAAACTATTTTGAATACAGTAAAAGGAAAATTCTACATTCAGACCAACTATAAACTTAATATAATAACGGTAATAATGAAATATATCGAACAATCTTAGCTATATAAAACGAGTATATCATCATTATTAGTATTACTAACACCAGGCGAGTGAGTAGTATCTATATAACGGAAAAAGTTGTCAATAAATTCACCTACATATATGAGATTACATTTATGATTCGAACTTGCGAAAGACGAGACTTACCTTATAGATTTCAACCTCTAGTAGTCATGAAAGGAACCAAGAATTTTTTTATTCCTAATTATTACAAATAAACTCAACACAAAGCAACGTCTATGAAGTTTTTTGTAACCGTTATATATTAAACGTGCTTTACTTCTACATCCCTGTTACCAGTCTACGGCTAATCATCGGCAGTCACGCGTTCAAACGTCACGAGATTCATGTTCGGATAGGTTTTCCAAGAAATTTGTATTCTAGAACACAATGCGACAGTAGTATAGGGAAGTGTTCAACTCGATAGATTTCGGTAAAGAAACGAACACTTTTCCGTCTGTTCATTTACGAATTACTTATCCCAGCTTTATAAGATGAAACAAATCTATTATATTATTTTTCTTTTTTTTTTTCATTGAAGCAAAATATTTCATAGAATTAGTATCTGTCGTATTTAAAAGTTTTTAATAGAATTTTGGTGTTAAAATACACAATACAAAAAGATAAAACATAAATTCATTATTTTCAGTTACAGTGTATATAATTTCACAGGCAATAAAGACATATATCTCAATAGTACACCATAAAGATGTATGAACATCCGCCACACAAAATTTTCAAAATACAATAATTGTCTAATCCATTATAATAAACATTTATCAAATCTGTGGAAAATTAGTTTTGCAAGATGATGGCTTCTTTAATTTATATTTTGGCAATTTTGACTTAGATATACATTTTTGTTCACAACATAATATTTATTTGTAAGGTAGTACTCGCTACGATTTAGATCTAATTTGTATTAAAACGAACATGATTAGTTGTTTTAACAACAGATGGCGATAAAGCACTCGTTTGGGTGGTATAAGGAGAAATGTTTTTTGTGTTTTAAGAGATATGACAGGGCTAATGGCAAAAAAATTATAAGATGGAATAAAAAGTCAGTTATAAAGGGAAAATTGTTCAAATTTTGCAATTACTCAGGATTACGTATCTTAAAATATTGTTTTGGCTGAGTTGATATTTCAATTGAAAAAAAAAGTTATTGGAGACTAAAACGTAGCAAAGTTTTCAAGAAATGAACTCAATTTGGTACTCAAACTGAAGAATTGGTCAACTTTTTGTTTTCTACTTATTTATTGCAAATTTGCTTATTAAAAATTGTTGACCACAGTATACCTCATACCTATATTTATCTAAAGATATTGTGTATATGTATAACAAAATATTCCGGCCCGGCATGGCCTGGTGGTTAAGGCACTCGACCCGCAATCTGAGGGTCGCGGGGTCGAATCCCTGTCACACCAAACATGCTCGCCCTTTCAGCCGTGTGGGTGTTATAATGTGACGGTCAATCCCACTATTCGTTGGTAAAAGAGTAGCCCAAGAGTTGGCGGTGGGTGGTGATGACTAGCTGCCTTCCCTCTAGTCTTACACTGCTAAATTAGGGACGGCTAGCGCAGATAGCCCTCGTGTAGCTTTGCGCGAAATTCAAAAACAAACAAACAAACAAAATATTATTATCAACCATTAACATGTTTTTTTTATTATTATTATTTAAACCAACTCAGTGTTTAGATATAAATTACCATTTCCAAACCAAAGGCCGTTTTTTTTTTCGAGTCAAATAAAACTATGGCCTTAGCTAAGTTTCTCTTTACTTTACTGGCTTCTTATTAGGGGTTTAAGTTAATGAGATAGGGACATGTTATTCATTTGAGGCATTTTTAGAGATGGACTGAGACACTCCCTTACACTTTCATGTGTCCTTTTAGACTTACTGATTGTTTGAAACGTACGAGTCAAGTGCTGAAAATTGAGAGACATCCATTAAGAATATCCCTTCATTTCAACAGGTTTGTGCCCTTGGTTTAAATTAACAAATGAATATGTAGTTTACCTTAAACATGGCTCAACATATTAGTTGATTGTAAAAAAAAAGGGGGGACTAGATTTGTCACATGGAAATTTTCAAGGTGAAGACTAAGAGCGAAAATGAAGCATGCATAATTAATATTGGGTAATTTGTCAAAAATAGAGTAAGTACAAATTTGGTGTTTCTGTGACTTATATAGTATTAAATTCATATTATATAACCAAAATAATAATCTTGGTTAAAACTTGTTTTAAATCACTGTAATGATTTTATGGACATACTTCTTAGAATGTCCATGTACTCCTACTACCCAACCTTCTAACGCTCTTTTGATGTGCTTTGCCATTTTTGATGTCTCGTTATGGCGCTTAAAAGAACTAATTTAGAAATGTTAGTGAATTTATTTCAAAGCACTATTACTACTCAGATGACATTTTAACTATCAAACTTTTTATTGCAACAGATTAAAATGTTTAATATTCGTAAAAATAATAAATTTCACACGATCTTATCAGTTTATATATCTTTAATTTAAATGGCTACAAATTAATTTAAATACAATAAAGTGTTATGTATTGAACATTACAATCACTTATGCCAATCTCATAACGAGATTTCCATAACAAGTATTTAGAACTGTTTGATTTGAACTTTGTAAATAATAATACTTACAAGGTACTGGAATAATTTAGATGACTATTAGGTCCTAACAATATTACGGTCGTTTTTTGTTTGTTTTTTTAAAACTTTTTTGGTAAAAATTACTTAAATATTATTAAACATCTACAGTATTACGAACTAATAAATAATATAATTTTTAATAGGATAATAATTATGGTGGATCATTATGCTTTTTTTTACAAGAAATCTGTACTATTTAAGTTAAAACGACGTTCTAAGATATTATTTCTAAGATGTTCCTTCTCACTTTTGATCATGAAAAATATGTATCCTAACTTCAAAGTTATGACTTGTAGTACAACAACAAGAGACGTATTTGTATATAAGGCTCTGATTACAACAAATACCAGAGCTTTCTAACGAGTTAAGGATAGAATCAAAGAGGCCATTGGCAAAAAGCAAGATAAGGTTTGTAGCAGAAGTATTGCTATGATTGTTGTAATGAGTAGTTGGTCTCTTATTTTTCAAAAAGACATAATATTACCAATTCTATAAAATATTGTATTATTATTTTTTCGACAGTTTTGTTGTATGAAATAGCAAAATTAATTATTTATTACTGATATTTTGATATGTGGTTGTTTCATTTTTAATGGGCCCGGCATGGCCAGGTGGTTTGGACACTCGACTCAAAATCTGTGGGTCGCGGGTTCAAATCCCCGTCACACCAAACATGCTCGCCCTTTCAGCCGTGGGGGCGTTATAATGTGACGGTCAATCCCACTATTCGTTGGTAAAAAGAGTAGCCCAAGAGTTGGCGGTGGGTGGTGATGATTAGCTGCCTTCCCTCTAGTCTTACACTGCTAAATTAGGAACTGCTAGCGCATATGGCCCTCGTGTAGCTTTGCGCGAAATTCAAAACAAACAAACAAATTTATTTTTAATTGTGTTTTGGAACATGAATCTAAACATGTGCTATGAACAATACATGTATGATGAATGTGAACCAATGTAAATTAACAATTTTGAACCCGTACCCTTGAATTTACCTTTATTTGGGTTGTAAGTCACTAGTTGTTTATGTTTTATAATACTTTTGTATACTAGTATTTCACAATTATTATAATTTACGACATCAACTATCCCATTTGTTTGGAAATCATAAAAAAATTACTTTTAATCAGATATTCTTCCGCAGGGTCTCCAAAAGTGTTCTGTTTTAAGAGCAAATAAAGCCAAAATTAAGAGTAACAAATATCTTTATTTCTTGCTTTTGAACTTCATATGTCATGCTGTGTTATAGCCTACAAAGTGCATAATTCTCCTCGTGATTCACGGCATGCGCAAGTTTTACTGACGTCACAACAGTACAAATTGCAATGTTAAGAGTCCCTTATGTGACGTCATTTTAGTGTCTACTGACTGACAGACAAATAATACACTACTGTATATTGGTGCGAGTGGTTAAAATAGGTGACCCCTTTAGGAGGCCTTTGGCCCACTTTCAAAGAAAATAATCTATGAATGTAGAATTAGAGATTAATTTTAGCATCACTTAGCAATTTGAAATGTTTTGAAACATTTATGTACATATGTCAAGAATTTTCCTTGAACTCGAAACAAACTTGTGTGATACTGTAGTCCTAAACTAGTAAGCCTACTACAAGATATACAAATCGTATATAAGTAATTTCTGGTACTCAAAATCAAATTTAAAAAAACTGAACTGTTAGTTCTATAAAAAAGAATTCACAAAGCAAGTTTTGCTAATAAAATATAATAGGCAGGTGAAAACGTATTGTTATGACAACGGAAGTCACGTGACGCTGGTAACACGTAATGCGTTCTAGAAAGATCGAGGAACATCACGAATAATCC